GAGCGCATCAAGCAGGAGGCGCCGGGGGGGCCGCCGGGGGCACTGGGAGCGCTGGGAACGGCGGGGGGGCCGGCGGGGGGGCCGGCAGGGACCCCAGGGACCCCTGGGGGGCTCAGCGCTGCCATGGCCTGGCTCGCCACGTACCTGGAGAGCGTTGATCGTCCCCCGGCGCCCCCCCACAGGTACCCCCACGGGTGGGGAGGTGTCCCTGGGACTTGTGGCACCCTGATATCCCCACGAGGGGGGGTCTTCTGCGTCCTGGAGCACCCCAGTATCAGTGGGGGGGTCACCCACATCCAGCAGTACCCTGGGATGCTCTGGGAGGGACCTCTCATGGCCTGGGACACCCCAGTATTCCATTGGGAGGGTCCCCTGGGTCTTTGGACACCCCAATGTCCTCATGGGGGGGGGGTCCCTTACATCCTGTGACATCCCAGTGTCCCCATGGTGGGGGGGGGTCTCCCACATCTTGCAACACCCCAATTGGGGGGGATATCTCCTGGGTCCTGGGACACCAAAATATTCTCATGGGGAGGTTCCCCATGCTCTGTGACAACAGATATCTCCCTGGGTGGGGGGGTGTCTCTCACATCCTCTGCCCCCCCCCATGAGAGGGTGCCAGGCCTTCCCCCTGACCCCCCTGTGTCCTGTGTCCCCCCCAGGGCAGAGGCTGCCCCGCGGGGGTCCCCAGGGGTCCCTGAGAGGCCGCCCCCCCCGTCGGCTGTGGGCTGGGCTGAGTTCCTGAACGCCTCGGGGGGGGCTCGGGGCGAGGGGGGGGCCGTGGCCCTGCTCACCCTCAGCGACCAGGAGCAGCACGAGCTCTACGAGGCCGCGCGCCTCGTCCAGGGCGCCTTCCGCAAGTACCGGGTGTGTAACCCCCCCCCCGACACCCCAGAGCCCCCAGGCCCCTCCCAGCCACTCCCCCTGGCCACGCTGACCCCCCTTTTGGCCCCCAGGGCCGGAGGCTGAAGGAGCAGCAGGAGCTGGCGGCCGCCGTCATCCAGCGCTGCTACCGCAAGTACAAGCAGGTACCGAGGTGTGGGGGGGACCCCAAAACCCCCATGGGCCCCCCTGGGCACTGCCTGGGTCCCCCAGAGCCCCCCTAACCCTCTCTCTCTGCCCCACAAGCTGACCTGGATTGCTCTGAAGGTAACAGGGTTGGAGTGGGGGCCCCCGATTTGGGGGACCATCTTGGGGGGCTCCAGACACCTGGGTCCCCTCAGCCTTGAGGGGTGTATGGTGTTGGGGGGACCTTGGGGGGGGGTGCCTGGATGTTGGGAGAGCACCTGGACATTAGGGTCCTTGTCTGGGGGCCCTGTGACAGCGGGGTGACACTGGGGTCCCTGTTTGGGGGTGCTGTGACATTGAGATCTGTCTGGGGTGCTGTGACACCAGGATGACACAGGTCCCTGACTGGGGTGCTGTGACATTGAGGTGACATTGGGGTCCCTGTTCAGGGTGCTGTGACCCCGGGGTGCCCTGTGGGTGCTGAGGGCTGTCCCGTGTCCCCCCCAGTTTGCCCTGTTCCAGCGGATGACGCAGGCCGCCATCCTGATCCAGAGCAAGTTCCGGAGCTACGCGGAGCAGAAGCGGTTCCAGCGGCGCCGGCGCGCGGCCGTGCTCATCCAGCAGCGCTTCCGCAGCCTCCGGCAGCACCGGTGGGGAGGCTCGGGGGGGGGATTGGGGGAATGGGGGAACTGGGTTAAAGGGAGACCAGGGAGCAATGGAGAGGTCTGGGCGGGACTGGAGGATCGGGGGGAGTTGGGAGGGGTCTGGGGGAACTGGAGGGACTGGGGACACTGGGGGCACCGGGGACTGGGGTGTTGGCGTCTGGGGGCACCAGGCACTGGGGACAGAGGGGTCCTCACCCTCCTCTCCCTTTTTCCCCAGGAGCACCTTCCTCACCCTCAAGCAGGACCAGGCGGCCCGGAAGATCATGAGGTTCCTGCGGCGCTGCCGCCACCGGTGCGGGAACATGGGGGGACATGGGGGGACACAGGGACATGGAGTGGGAGGACATGGGGCTGAGGGGTGTCACACGGGTGTGGGTGGAGACAGGTGACACTCTGGAGAGCTTGGGGACAGGTGACGCTGTGGGGGAGACCCTCAGCAGAGCCTGACTCCCCCCCAACTCGTGTTCCCTTCCCCAGGATGGAGGAGCTGAAGCAGAACAAGGAGGTGGACAGTTTACAGACGCGGGGCCTGGCCTCGTGACCCCCCCACGGGGGACCCAGGCACGGGGGGGCTCCACCCCCCCCCCGCCACAGGGGACCCAGGCAACAGGGGGGCTCCCCTCCCTGGCCCCCCCCCAGGCTTTGCCGTGTGTCCGGGTCTCCCAGGGGGCCCGTGGGGAGGGGAAGGGGGGGGCAGAGCCATCCCACGCCCCTCCCCACATGCCCCTGTCCCTGCCCCGCATGCCCCACTCCCCCTCCCCCCCAGCCCCGTGTGGGCTGTTTGTACAAAGTTCCATTAAAAACCGAGGAAGCGGGAAAAAAAGACCTGATGCGTGTGTGTGTGTGCGGGGGGGCCACGGGCCACGGGCCGGGGGGGGCAGGGGAGGACACGGGCGGGGGGCGATGCGGGGGCCCCGCCGGTGCCCTTTTAAAGGCAGGCCACGCCCCTTCCAACAAGGCCCCGCCCACTCCCCGCCCCTCACGAGAACGCCTCGCCCTTCCCCGAGGCTACGTCCCCCGCGGTGACGCAGCACGCCGGGGGCGTGGCCCGCCGCCCCGTCGCAAGATGGCGGAGCTGGATCTGCTGGGCTCCATCCTGAGCTCCATGGAGCGGCCGCCCGCGGCAGCCGACGGCGAGACGCGGCGTCGGGCGCGGGGTCAGTGGTGCCGGGGGGGCGCGGAGGCACCGGGAGGACCGAGCGGGCGGGGCGGGAAGCGGCGGCTGCGGCGGGAGGTGGCGGGGGGGGGGGAGAAGAGGGCGGCGCGTCCCGGCCCTTCGCCCTCACCCCCCAACGACATCCGCGCTCCCGCGTGGCCACGCCCCCCCGGGGATGGCTCCGCTCCCTCGCTCCACTGATTGGCTGGGGCGCCCACCAGGCCACGCCCTTTAGCCGGACACTGCTGTGGTGCTGGCCCCGCCCTCGGCCCCGCCCCTGCCCAGATCCCGCCCCCAGGCCCATCGAGAGCCGCCCCCGGGGGGTCCTGGGGGGGTCTTGTGGAATCCCGGGCGTCCTGACCCCCACTCCGTGCTCCCCCAGAACAAGCCGCTCGCGTGAAGAAGCTGCAGGAGCAGGAGAAGCGCCAGAAAGTCGAGTTCAGGAAGAGGGTGAGTTCCCCCCTCAGCCTCTGTGGGCACCTGAGTGCCCCCCCAATGCCTGGGCCCTCCCCGACCACCCGTGTCCTTCCCAGATGGAGCAGGAGGTGTCCCAATTCATCCAGGCCAGTGGGGAGCCCCGGCGCCGCTTCCAGCCCATGAACAAGATCGAGAGGAGCATCCTGTGAGGAGGCACTGGTGGCACTGGGAGGGCAGTGGGTGGGGCACTGGTGGCACAAGGAGGGCAGTGGGGGCTGCTTTGGACACTGAAGGGGCAATAGGGTGGTACTTTGTACACGGGGAGAACACTGGGGACACTGAGGGGGTACTGGGGACCCTGGGGACATAGGAGGGGGGGGGCCACTTGGGGGGGATACGGGGGGGGGGGGGGGGGGGGGGGGGGGCACTGCAGGGCAATACTGGGAATGCTGGTGGACAGTGGGGATGTGGGGGCAGGACAGAACCAGCTCCGGGTGGCAGCTCCATCCTGGGGCAGTTGGGAACCCTCAAGGGGAAGGGAGGGACAGCTGGGGACATGTCCTGTGTTCTCCAGGCACGACGTGGCCGAGGTGGCCGGGCTGACGTCCTTCTCTTTCGGGGACGACGAGGACAGTCGTTATGTCATGGTGTTCAAAAAGGTGGGGACAGGGAGGGACAGGGGGGGACACCTGTCAGTGTCCCCAGGAGTTCTGGGAACAGGGGGGACATGGAGGGAAGCAGGAGAGGGGGGGACACAGGGTGACATCTCAGGTGTCCCCAGGAACACGAGGGGAGGTGGGAGGAGGGGGCACAGGGGGTGACACTGTGGGTGTCCCCAGGAGTTCGCACCATCGGACGAGGAGCTGGACGCGTATCGGCGAGGGGAGGAGTGGGACCCGGCCCTGGCTGAGGAGCGACGCCGCCTCCGGGTAGGCGGGGCTTAGAGCACACAGGCGGGGCTTAGTGACATGGGGCAGGGCTTAAGAGGCCAGGGGTGAGGCTGGTCTTGGCCGCAGGGGTGTGGTTTGAGCTGACACCGGGGGTGTGGCCTATGTGGGTGCCTTGGGCTTAGGCCCCACCCAGGGCCCCTCCCTTTGCCCTGAGTGGGTGGGGTTTGTTGTAAAAGGGGGTGGGGCCATGGGCAGGGCTCTGTGCTGATGCCCCTCCCTCAGGAGTTGGCGGCGCAGCAGGAGGAGGCGGAGCTTGAGCGCGGCGCTGCCCTCCCCGGGCCCCCAAACGACTACAAGGACAAATACCGGCACCTGATTGGCTCCGACGCCGCCAAAGCCGCCGCCCGCACCATGGAGGCCAACAAGGCCTATGGGTGTGGTGAGTGGGGGGCCTGGGGGGGTCCTGGGGGGCCACAACACCAAGGAAGGAGTGGGGGTGTCCTGGACACCTGGGGGAGCTCTTGGGTGGCTCCCAAAAACTTGGGCTCCCTGTGGGGGTCTGTGGGGATCCTGAGCCCCCCAAGACTCACCGGGGTCCCTCTGACCTTCCCTTGCCCCCCCAGTGCCAGTGGCCAACAAGCGGGACACACGCTCCATCGAGGAGGCCATGAACGAGATCCGGGCCAAGAAGCGGCTGCGGCAGGCGGAGGATGAGGGGGGGGCTGGGGGGGGGCCCGGGGGGGCGGCTGGGTGGGGGGGTTGGGGGGGGGGGGGGCCACCCCCCTGGGGGGGGGGGGGGGGGGGGGGGGGGGTGTTTGTGTTCCCCCCTCCCCCAAACCAAACAAACAATGGGCTGGGGGCTCATGGTGCTTCAGAGTTTATTGAGGGAGTTGGGGGAGCGACCCCTGGGAGGGGGGTCAGGCTGGGTTTGTTGCTCCTCCCCCTCCTACTTGGCTTTGGGGTTCCTGAACTTGCGCCCCGCAAACTTGGCCTTGTCCCCCAGTGCCTCCTCGATCCTGGGGGTCAGTGGGGGGACATGGGGTCAAAGGGGGTGACCCAGAGGTCACGGGTGGGACATGGGGGACACACAGGGACAAGGACACCCTGGGCAGGGTACATGGGGATGGGCTTGGGGACCCCCCAATTCCCCCCGGGGCCTCCCCCCAGCTCCCTATGGGGCATGTGAGGACACAGAGTGGGGGGATGAGCATTTGGGGACAAGGATGGGGAGACAGAGATTTGGGGCTGCCTCACCTCATCAGCTGGTTGTATTTGGCCAAGCGCTCGGAGCGACAGGGAGCTCCCGTCTTGATCTGGGGAGACAGAGGGGACATTGAGGGGTGCTGGGGGACACGGAGGGTGACGGGAGACGAGGGGACTTACCTGGCCCGTGCACAGCCCCACCACGAGGTCAGCGATGAAGGTGTCCTCGGTCTCGCCCGAGCGGTGACTCACCATCACCCCCCAGCCGTGGCTCTGGGCCAGTTTGCACCTGGGAAGGGGACACGAGAGGGGACCTGAGCTCGCACGGGGGTCGTGCACAGGGAGCTCAAGGGGCTGCACAGAAAGGCTTTGCACAAGGACTCGCACCTGGGTGGGTACAGTGAGGGGGTTTGCACGGGGATTTCTACAGGGATTTGCACGGGGATTCACACCTGGATGGACTTTGTGACGGGGGTGTTGCACAGAGGAGGGTCACACAAGGACTCACACCTGGATAGGCTCGGTGGCAGGGATTTGCACAAGGATCCACAGGAGGACTCACATCTGGATTGACTCAGGGATGGGGATGTTACACAGGGATTTGCACAAGGGTTCACAGGGGGTTTAACACCTGGATGGACTCAGTGACAGAGGTGTTACACGGGGATTTGCACAAGGATTCTCAGGGGGACTCACGCCTGGATGGACTCGGTGACGGAGCCGATCTGGTTGACCTTGAGCAGGAGGCAGTTACACGCCTTCACCTCGGCCGCCCGCGCGATGCGCTTGGGGTTGGTCACTGTCAGGTCATCGCCTACCACCTGGATGTCCACCTGTGTCAGGAAGCTCTTCCAGCCCTCCCAGTCGTCCTGGTCAAAGGGGTCCTCGATTGACACCACTGCAGGGAAACAGCCACCAGTCTGCACCAGTATGGTCCAGTCACCTCTGGTGGTTGGGAAAGGGACAGCGACTATGCTGTGGCCCCAGGCACAGCCCTGTATGAGCCATCAGAGTCCCCACCTGCATTCCCAGTGCCTTCCACTCCCTCCTAGTGTCCTCCCAGTCCCTTCTCAGTGCCTCCCAGTCCCTCTCGGTGTCCCCCCAGTCCCTCCCAGTGTCTCCCTGTGCTTGCCAGTGCCCTCCCAGTTTCATGCCAGTGCTCACCGGGGTAGTCCTTGATGAAGTTCTTGTAGAGCTGCCCCAGCTGCTCCCCAGTGATGAGGCGCTTGGGGTCTGGGGGTGACTTGAAGTCCAGGTCATACTTGCCCTCCCGGCAGAACTCAGAGGCCGCCACATCCATCCCGATGACCACCTTGTCTGGGTACCCAGCCTGGCCAATGGCCGCTTTCAGCAGCTCCAGAGCTGGAGGGACCCCAACTCAGCACCGGCCACAAGGTGGGGGGAGAGACCCAACCCCCCCCCAAACCCCCAATTACCCCCCAACCTGCACCCCAGGGGGGACAGACACAGGGGTCTGGGCTCAAATCCCCCCCCCAGGGTCTCCAAAATCCATCCATGGAGATTCTCAATGCTGACCCTTGACCGAGGGGACTTGGACCCCATGTCCCCCTCAGGGCCCCTCCCCCCCAAGCCAGATGGACCCAGGGCCCCCCCTGCCCTTTCCTGCCCCTCCCCCACTGCCCCATGACCTTTCTCCAGTTACCACTAATTCAGGATGTGACCCCGAAACCCAACCCCAGGGGTGGGAGGGAGGATCTATAAATAGCTCCAAGCCCCCAACCCATGGGGTAGGGGAGCACCCAGGCCCTCTGGGAGGCAGCCAGGTGTTCCGGGGGCCCCCACCTTCATTGTTCTCCAGGATGTTTGGGGCAAAGCCGCCCTCGTCGCCCACGTTGGTGGCGTCTTTGCCGTACTTGGCCTTGATGACGGCCTTGAGGCTGTGATAGACCTCGGCGCCGATGCGCACGGCCTCGCGGAACGTTGCGGCGCCCACCGGCAGCACCATGAACTCCTGCATGGCCAGCTTGTTCCCCGCGTGAGAGCCCCCATTGATCACGTTGAAGGCCTGGCCGGGGGGGCCCAATGAGTCCAAAGAGCCCCCCAAGACTCAACTTTGCCCTAAGGGCTTGACAACCCCCTTAAAAACTCAACCAGGTCCCCCAAAGTTCCAATGTCTGCCCAAAGACCCCATGAACCCCAAAAGACTCAACTCCCCCAAGACCCAACCAGGTCCCCCCCGTACTCAAAGACCCTCCCCAAAGACTCAAAGACCCCCCCAAGAACCAATAAATCAAACAATATCCACAAACACAACCAGGTCCCACCAAACCCAACCAACACGCCCCCAAAACCTTGGTGAGATGCCCCAAAGTCCTCCTCAGACATCCACCAATCCCTCCCCAAGACCCATTTGTGCCCCTATAAATCCCCCACTGTGTCCCCAGTCCCTCCTGCTCCTCTGGGGTGCTCCAGGGTACCGGCACGGGCAGGATGAGCTCAGTGTTGCCAGCCAGGTTGGCGATGTGCTGGTACAGGGGGATCCCCTTCTCAGCTGCCCCGGCCTTGCAGACGGCCAGTGAGACCCCCAGGATGGCATTGGCCCCGAATTTAGCTGAGGGACGGGAAGGAGGGGCTCAGTTTGAGGGGTCCCAGGGTCCAGGGGAAGGTGGGGGGGTGAGGGGAGCTCACATTTGTTCTCGGTGCCGTCCATCTCAATCATGAGCTTGTCGATCTTCTCCTGCTCCACCACACTGAGTTTCTGGGGCATGGGGGAGGTGTCAGCCTCCCACCTGCCCCACAAGTGCCCCCCAATCCTCCCCTGCCCCTCTCCTCCCCCACACGCACCTTCTCCACCAGAGCTGGGCCCAGGGTCTTGTTGATGTGATCCACGGCCTTCAGCACCCCTGGGGGGTCGGGGCAGGGGGTGTGACCTCTGACCTTGGGGTCACCCCCTCCCACCAAACACATGAGGGTGGGAGGTTGGGAGGGACTGACGGGGGACGGATTGGGGGGGGGTTGTTGTGTCTTCGGGGCACTGAGATGGGTCTTGGGGGAGGTTTAGAGGATGCCGTTGGGTCTTGGGGGGTTGTTGGGTCATTGGGGGGAGTCCATTGATTGGGTCTTGGGGGACCCATTTGAGTCCTGGCAGCTCTTGAAGGACCCAGATGGCTCTCGGGGGTGTTGTAGAATCTTGGGGGGTCCAGTTGGACCACTGGGGGGG